TTTATTTATTTTTTAAAGTAATCTCTACACCCAACGTGGGGCTCGAACTCACAACCCGCAACATCAAGGATCGCATGCTCTTCTGACTGAGCCAACCAGGCGCCCCTCCTCTTCCCTTATTAATAGCAGATTTGCTTTCCACTTTCCCATCGCCTAGCAACCAATGAGGTACACAGTAGGTAGGATCATCCTCTTTCTGCAGCAAGTGTGAAAGCCACAGACACCCAGGTTCAGATCCCAGCTCTGTCCCTTGCCTGTGTTAGCTTGGGTGGGTTACTTAACCTCTCTGGAGCTTCCCTTTCTCAACTTTAAATGAGCATGGCCATACCTTCTTCAGGAGGCCATCGTGGGTACTGAGTCCCCAGTGATGAGAATCCTCTGGGTACTTGTTAACACACAGATTCCCGGCCTCCATCCAGAGCTACTGAACCAGAATTCCCAGGGGGTGAGGTCTGGACCGCTGACAAGCCCCAGGGATTCTTATCAGGGAAATTTGGGAAACATCAGGTTGATTTCTTTAAGGCATTTATTGTTGTCTGCCACTAAGCGGCTAGTATTTATGGAGCACTTGAATGTGCTCAATCTTGGAAATGGGGGTAATAACGACTACCTGATGGGAAACAAGCAAAATAACGTACGACGTCCAGCAGACAACAAGTTCTAAATATATGTTGCGTGTCTTCACTCCCTCATAGTCGTCTGGACTCTCCCAGGCTGACGCAGAATGATCCAGAGGCTCTGTCCAAGGGATGTGCCTCCACAACTCCCGGGCCTCCGACCTCCCAGCCCCAACCAACCCCCCAACAGGAAGTTGCTCATTTTCCAAATTCCAGGGGCCCAGCCTCATTTAACCAGTTTGGGTTCCAGGCTCTTCCCTGTACCACTCAACATGGTCTAAGTTCAGAATACACTGATTGGCCAGGACTGGGTCATCCCCGGAACCAGAGCGGGTAGCCCTACCTGAACTTCAGGTCCGTATCCACACAAGTCCTGCTGGTGGTCCCTGTAGTGTTGTTGTCAGACCAACTCCACGGATGTCCCCTGCATCAGCTTCTTGAGTCACAGTCGGCCATCAGGTTGGACTCTTTCTCGTCTCTCCCCTGCTGGCGTGCGCATGGCCTGCCTGATTCGGCCTGACCTGCCCTCCTGCGTCCAACCACCTCTCCTCGGTCCTGCTCACTCACCCCTGGGCCCAGCCTGCCACAGGGGCCTGTCTAAGGGCTGGTCCAGGGACTCAGGGCCGCCATTGTGCAAAGCTGCTTATTAGGGACCCACTGTGGGAATCCTTCCAACCATGAACAATGAGTTTCTGAACAAGGATAAAAACAGCCTTTGCAAGTCAGCAAACGAGAAAAACGGAATTGCTCACCCCCCCTTCCCTCAGCCGCCTGGCCCTTTTAACACAGTGGATAAGAACGAGTCTTCCAGCGTCAGGACGTAGGCTTGAGGCTTAACCGCCACTTACTAGCCAGGCTAGTTGTCTTCTCTTTGAACTTTGATTTTGTCAGTGAAATCTGTACGAGGATTAAGGGAGGCCATGGATATAAAGCGCATGACACAGAGTAGCTCCTAATCTAGAAGCATCATCATTACGCTCTTTCCAGGCACTGGTTCTGCATCGGGAAACACACACCGATTCCAGGGATGACCAATGTCAGACACTATGGGGAACATTTAAAAACACAGGACACACTCCAAAGCCAATGGAGCCCCCAATGGAGCTCCACATCACTCGCTCCGTCCTGCCCGCCCAGGGCTTAGCCGTGTTCTTCCTGTAAGGCACTACACTGTGTATCTTCCACTTCTGGAAGCCCACAGCAGCTGGGCTCCCCCGCAACCACAGTGCAGCTGCGGATGTCTGAGAAGCAGCCCAGGAAAGGGGGTCCTGCCTTCCACGCCGGGCTCTCCCACCGCCTTGCTGCATGACCTTGGGCACATCACTCACCCTCCCTGATTTTGGTCTCCTTTTTGGTCAAATGGGACGGTTGAGGACTGGGTGATTTCTAAGGGCCCTTCCCTCTCAAGGGTCCATCCTGTGCATTTGCTGGCACTCAGCGGGGAAACCTCTGTCCTGGGGGCACCGTGACGGGCAAGGAGGAGGTGGCTGCAGGGATTCTGGTGGAAGGGAAGAGGGCTGGCTCTGGAACTACACACCCCTGGTTTATGACTGGCGCTGCTCTTCCTGCCTGCATGACCTTGGGCCAGTCACTAAACCGCCTGTAGAACAGGGATAACGGCACTTACCTAAGGCAGCTGTGAGGATTCGGTAAGATGGAGATGACGCACATACAGCGTGGTACCTGGCACACAGCGAGTTCAATAAATAGGCTTTTAGCGCCTCCCCACCCCCCACCCGCCCCTTGGGCTGAACTTCCTCTTCCTCCTTGTCATTCTTTAAAAATTTTTTTTTTCAACGTTTATTTATTTTTGGGACAGAGAGAGACAGAGCATGAACGGGGGAGGGGCAGAGAGAGAGGGAGACACAGAATCGGAAACAGGCTCCAGGCTCTGAGCCATCAGCCCAGAGCCTGACGCGGGGCTCGAACTCCCGGACCGCGAGATCGTGACCTGGCTGAAGTCGGACGCTCAACTGACTGCGCCACCCAGGCGCCCCTCTCCTTGTCATTCTTGACTAACTTCAGTGAAATGGAAATAGTTCAAACAGACCTGGGTTTCATCCTGGCTCCACCTCTTCTTAGCTCCACATCACTTGACCTCAGTTCTCCTCATCTGTAAAATGGGCACGGCAAGACCTTTTCTTAAGGGTTGATGTAAATACTTGGTATGATTGCTACAGATAGTCTGCTCTTCCCTTAATCCCATCAACACTAACCCAGTCATCACTATGCATTTCACCTTACATTTTATAGCATGTATGTCCATTATCTACATGAGTCAGCTGGTCTCTAAAGCCCCCAAGGAGGCAGTCAGGGTCAGAACACCCAGGGCCAGGTCGGAGACGCTGTCAACTTCACCCCCTCCCCATGTTCTTTGGCCGGCTCCAGGAGGCACAGAGCACGCCCACCAGTTGATCTTCACCACCCCGTTGCTTGGCATGGGACCTGGCCTCTGGGAGGTCATCTTCCCCGCCTTCCACCTGGGGCTAGAGGAGGTCTTTGCCAAAGAAGAGGACAGCAGGTGTCTGGGCACCGCCCAGAGACGGGGTGGGTCAGTCTCTCCCCAAGAAGCACCTCATTCTGCTGGAACCACGCAGAACCAGGCCTTGCTAGAACTCAGGGTTCAAAGACGTAAGGCAGAGAATGAACATAACGTGCATACGCATTAACTACCACAGTATTCTACCATGGCGTGATCCTCCTGGAAAACACAGAACCTTGCACGGGAGCCTTAGAAATGTCCAACTTTTGGTTCAACGACCCTGCTTCTAAGGCTCTGTGCGGAGAAATCCACAAAAAGTAGAACAGAACCGCTGCAGGGGGAGGAAGTGAGAAACAACTCAAACCTCTAACCATGTGGTTAGACTGAGAATCAAGCGGGTCAGAATAGTTAATGGACTACTACATAGCCATTTAAGATCCATGCTTTTGAACTCTTCAGAGGTTAGAGAAATTACCGTTAACGGTGGTTAAGGAAAGAAGGAACAAATTTGTTTTATCCATCCCTGGGGGCTTCAGGTGAGTATTCTTTCCAACAGAACCACGAAAGAGAACTCAAAATAAGGTCCCAAAGTTGGCCTCACTTTTGGGTGACCGTTTCGGTGTTCAAGGAACTCTTTTTCTAGCTTTACATCTTTTGGGTTTTTACTCTGAAGACGAAGCTTTTAATGAAGACCGCACACCACTGAGCCTGGCTTTGAGAACCCCAAGCCTCCAAACTTGGCACCAGGTTGCACACTCTGTAAAGAAGCTATTTTAATCGGGTAACCGATGCTAACGCTTCCCCGCATCAGCTAGCAGGTTATCTGGAATGCATCTTAGAAAGATCAATGGCCTGCTGGACTCAAAGAAGCCATCCCCAAAAAAATTGTATAAAAAGATTTATTGAAATTTATCAATGACAAACAGACATAAAACTCAAAGTTTGGCTCTTCTGAGGGGGAGGAGAGAAACCGGTGCAGATGTTCTTTTGTACAGATGAAACGCGGGCTAGGAAAGAACACGTCACTTCTAAAGCAATCCAGAAGGGGGACACGAAAGCAAACCTGTACACTCACTAGGAATTTGCAGTCGTTTCAGATTTCCACTAGGTAAGAAAATACAATTTTGCGTTAGTTTATCCGTGCTCGGGTGTATGAAAAAAAAACCCAGCCGACATGCAGCACTGCCTCCCGTGCCTAGGTTTGTAAAAACGGTCTAAGCACAGAAGGACACGTGGAAGAATTCTCTGGTCATTTTTGTAAAACAAGGCGTTCGAGTATTTTACAGAACAAGATAGGACAGTTTTGTGTTTCCTTAATCTTATTTTAAAGAGGTTGAAGTTTGAGGGTTTGCTTCTTCTCTTTTAATTGTCATGACCGAATCCGTTCTACTCATAACCCATAAGCCTGCTGTTTTCGGCTCTCTGGCTCATAGCTCTGAAGAGTGACGCCACAGTCTTCTTCACAGAGCAAAGCCCACCACCATCTGTGAAGAGGGAAAGGAATGAGAGACGGGGAATGTCCCCCAACCAGTGCCAAAATACGCCTTTAGGTTGCTATTTACAAACCAGGGCGTTGGATGCCTCTAGCAGGCCCAAGAAATGCAGAAATCACGGGAACGAGCACAAGAGGTAAGACGTGGCTGGTGCTCAGCGCCTTCTGGGCTTCGAGAAACCAAACGGAGGCCAGCCACGACCTTCCAACTGACTCCAGAGACTCCGGAAGTACCAGGAGACAGAAGAGCCCTCCAAACCATCCTCTTTGAGAGTAAGAAACAAATGCTCACTTGGTGTGTACCTTAGCTATCGCATTTACAGGGACAAAACCAGACACAAAGAAAAAGTAGGGGAAAAAAATAAAGAGTGGCAGTAAAAATAGTATTTTATTCCACCCCCTCCCGCCCTCCCTCCCCCCACAACCCCCAGTACACGTTTCCCCTCTCGTTCCCACAGCAACGTTACAATCAGAAAAAAATAAGTTTCGGGGGGCGGGATTTCGGGGGGGGGGTATGGGTAAAAACAGTCAAATCACAATAGGAATTTTTCAAAATAGGTTATTCCACTTAGTCATCGTCTTCTCCCTCATCTTCAGGTTCTCGTTTTCGCTTCTGACCCCTTTCTTCTTCTGGAAGAGGAAGGAAAAGGCGTTTAGGTTAAAACACTGAGCCTGCCTCTCACTCGACCCACCTGCTGGGAAACCAGGGGACCATACGTCTGGGAAGCTGGGCCATCCCTGGCAGATCTGAGGGGGCAGATCTGCAAGCCAGGGAGGCACGGGGGGCCTCGGATGGGTGTGTTCTACCCTCGGGCAGGTCCCCAGGGCCTGTGCGGTCCGCTGCCGACCGAGGGGGCCGGGCTAGCTGAGAGTAAAAAGGCTGCCATACCACCAACGTCTTCTTCGTCTTCCTCGTCATCTACTTCCCCATCGTTATAACCCTCTTCATCCTCCTGGAAGAGAATACAGACAGCAGACATTAGTGATGCCCCTGGCCCAGGGACCCGCTGAAGAGGCCACTTCCCCAGACAGTGAGATCGAGAAGGTGGGGGCCTCTCAGAGCCTCACAAGAACCTGCCACCTCAGGATGGATCCAAAGCAGACGTTCTCTTGCATCAAGGATCCCTTTGAGAAAATGACAAAGCTCTGAACCCCTTCTCCAGAAGAAACCGCCCACATCACACACAGTATCTGCAAACAATGTTGGGGGGATGGCAGATGCTAACCCAGTTCAGAATTCTGACCCGGAGTCCCTGTAACTCAAGCAGCTTTCCAATCTGTGCGCTCTCGGGAGAGAAACTTCCCCAAGCCGACTCTGTCATGCACAAGCCAGCCGTGCTTTTATTTGCCCTCAAAGTAGTTTTCGCTTCAAGGGAAGACCCCGGTTTTAGCAAATCCAGGTTCTGTGGGCAAGTTCAACCTCACGCTACCCAGCCTGTCCACCGCCTTGCACACTTGGATCACTCGGAGGGGACGATCAATCCCAGGCCCCTGGAGGACATCATTCCCAGCTCCTTGAGATTCAGCAAGGTGTGTGAATTCATTCTCAGCACAGGATCCCTGTTTTACGCTGCTTCTGAAGTCCTATGCTAGCTGAATCTCTACATGCTGAACACTGTTCCTAAAGCATCAGGCAACCAACCCATAGTTTAAAAAGAACCTGGTGTGGGGCAGCCAAGCGTCTGACTCTTGGTTTCAGCTTGGGTCATGATCTCTCCGTTGGTGAGTTCAAGCCTGACATCAGGGTCTCAGCTAACAGTGCAGAGCCTGTTTGGGATTCTCTCTCCCTCTCTCTCTGCCCCTCCCCTGCTCATGCTCTCTCTCTCTCTCTCAAAATAAGTAAGTAAACTTAAAAAAATAAATAAAATAAAAAGATCTTGATGAGAACCTTCTTTTTGTCAAGAGACATATCCTTTTAGAAGATCACCAAATAGTTTTTCAGTCTGTCTGCTAAGACTTTTTTGGTCTGTGTGTAAGTTCAACTTCACTGGAAGCTAGAACTCTTGCAGATGGTCAATGAGATTACAAAAAAAAAAAAAAAAAAAAAAAAAAAAAAAAACAACAACAAAAAAAACCCACAACAAAACCCTGCACGTTGGGACTCCTGTGACAGGAAGCGCAAGATGAAAAATCCATTAGCCAACATGACTTACTGCCCTGTCCTGGGGGGACTGTTTTTCTAAGTCTTTATTTTTTAAATATTTGCAATATTCTTGCAGCCTACACTTAGGGAAAAGGGAAACCCAGCAGCAGAACTAGGCGGGAACAAGGCCGATCTTTTTCTATTTGCCTTGCCTTGTGCCTCTCCTAAGTTTGGGGTGGGCAGGAGATCCTGTCCAAATGGGTCTGTGGCAGGATAGAGACAGGAAATCGGAGAAGGTAGGTACCCTGTCCATGTTGTTCTCACTTTCAGCCTCTCCAGGTGTAACTTTTTTGTTTTTTTAATGTTTATTTATTTTTGAGAGAGAGACAGGCAGAGTGCAAGCAGGGGAAGGGCAGAGAGAGAGGGAGACACAGAAACCAAAGCAGGCTCCAGGTTCTAAGCTGTCAGCACAGAGCCCGATGCGGGGCTTGAACCCATGAGCTGTGAGATCATGACCTGAGCCGAAGTCAGAGGCTTAACTGACTGAGCCACCCAGGCGCCCTTCCGGGTCTAACTTTTGTAATCAGGAAGAGCTGATTTAGAATTCTGAACAAGTCATGGAAAATGGCTATTACAGAGAGACTCCGAACATCCAAACACAAAACCTAGCACAAGACCTTGGAGAAGGGTGTAAAAGCCTAAAATAGTAAGTGCTATTACCTACAAATTTTTATATTCTCTTAAGAATTCACTGAATTGATCCTTCTTTACAACTCAGATGTAAAACAACACCTGTCTTACAGATGAAGAAATAGGCTCAGAAAGGTTAAGGAACTTGTCCAGGGACACACAGCCAGCAAATGGTAGAGCTGGGATCCGCCCTCCTCAGACTGTGCTATTAGTAACCCTCACAGACACGCACAAACCTTGTCAAGACGCTGGGAGCAAGCCAATGTATTAGGATCACAGCATTATTTCCACGTGTGCTAGGGACCCTTGTCACTCCGAATGGCACCAAGCAGGGTCTTCTCCTATCACCCATGAGTTCAAAGCAGTCTTTGATTTTCTCTAACACACTCTTAAGTGCTCAGTAAATATCTGAATTAACGTATGAATGCAAAAAGGCAGAAAATAAGGATGTGGATTCCTTAAGAACTAATTTTCGCATATAAACCAGGGCTAGGTTTATTCCACCAGCACATGGCTCCCCTCCTGACCTGCCTCCAGAATCTTCTCCTTCTTCCTCTCCCGGGGCTGGCTGCAAGCCTGGACTCCCCCATAGCAGCCCCATAAAAGGCCCCGAAATGGTCTCATTTCCCCAACCAGGGTTTCGTGGCTGCCAAAGGCGGATCACTGAGGCCTTTAAGTTGGACGGAGTCATAGGCAGCAAGTAAGGGGGACTCTGGGAACTGGTGCCCCTGCCCAGTTCAGCCTCTTACCTCTTCTTCTCCACTCACGTCCTCCTCTTCTCCTTCCTCCTCCTCCTCTTCATCCTCCTCGTCTTCCACTACCTGAGCATCTTCATCATACTCTTCCTCTGTGCAGCAGAAATGGGGACAAGGGAACTGGTGGTGAGCCCGCCTCCCTCACAGCACGAGCCCAGGCTGTGCATGGGTGTTCCATACAGGTAGTCTCCCGTGGGGCCCAGGACCCTCCCACGCCCACTCAGGCCCAAAGCCTGGAAGCCCCAGTGTGACTGAACACACCCTAGGGTCATCCAAAAGCTAAACCCTCCTCCCAAGTTGTACAAAAACGAGAAGTTCCTGGGTGGAGGCTCAGCCCACAGAGAACTCGCTGGATCAGAGGAACAAGTTACAGAGTCTAGGAAGGCAGAGAAGTCAATTCATTTGCCAAGAGCATCTAGCCAAATTCCTTGCTTTAAAGGATGTTCACATCCAAGTCCCTGAGGGGGGATGTGACTTGTTCAAGGTCATACGTCAGAGTTAGCCACGGAGGTGGGCCTAGAAACCTGGTCTCAGGAGTCCTGTCCTGGGCCCTTCCTGTCATACCACAAGATGGAATAAACTAAGGCAAATGGGTGTCTTGAGTATCTGACCTAACAAGGAAACTCAAAAATCCTATGTCTGAATTAATGGGCCAAATGTCTCAACTCTCTCTGTTACTGTGGCCATGAAGAAGCCGCTGGGAAACTACACTACGCTGGCACAGGGGGGAAGGAGACAGGACACGCTCCTTTCCTTTCTTCCTTCCTTCCTCCCTGCAGGTCCTGCCGCTCACGGCTCGACCTCACCCTCCCCGTACCACCAGGGGGCCCAGCATGCCACGCGAAGCAGCCTCTTGTACTTCCGGGGCCCCTGGGGGCCCCTGGGGCTCCAGCATCCACACCCTGCAGGTCCCGCCTGTGGTCCTGTGGGCTGCAGCCACCAGGGGGCCCCACAACCTCTCCAGCTCATGACCTCATCTCCACTGCTGGACACCCAGGTGAATGGGGACCCTCAGGCCACACCCCACCTTCCTCTGTGCGCTCACCAGCCCTGGGCTGGGGAGTCCACGGTCACGGTCACACTACAGAGAGACACTGTAGGATCTCATTCCGGGGGTGGGGACTTCGGAAAAGAGGAAAAACCGGAAGGGAAGGTTTAGTTAGATTTCTTAAAGAGTTACCGCACTATCAGGCAGTGTCACGATGCCTCTCTGGGGTTCGAGCCCCAGTGAGAAAGATGAGGGATGGTGGCAGCAAAGCAGCCCCACTCTCCCCACCCCACCCCAACCCCCCGACACCCACCATCCTCGTCCTCCTCATCGTCGTCCAGCCCCTCCACATAGCCCTCGGCGTCTGAGTCGGGGGCCTCCTTGTCATCCCGGTCGTAGCCGTCGAGATACGTGAGCTGTGGGAGGAGCTTGAACACGTTTTCTCGGTAGTCGTTCAGGTTGGTCACCTCACAATTGAAAAGGTCTAAGCTCTTGAGGTTTTCTAACTTTTTCTGCAAGCAGAAACATGAAGTCAACAGTGAATGATCTGTGGGAGGGCGGGAGGGCAGGGGGGAAGCAGGAGGGGGGACTGAGCCAGGTGGAGGAAACAGCTTTGCTCTGCCCAGCCCCGTCACCCTGATTGGTGGGCCTCAGTTCCTTCACCCGGAAAATGGGAGGGCGGACTTTAGGGCCTTTGAAGCTCCATCCAAGGCCAACACATTTAGTCTGCAAATACAGCTTTGGCCGTGTCAGTGACCGGCTTCAAATTAACCTGGGGCTCCCTGGGGCTCCAGCCAAGAGCTTTGCGGCTGCCCCTGTGACGAAGGAGCCAGAGGGGAACGAAAAAGGCGCCACGAACAAAGAGACTCCTGATGTGTCTATTACTAATGATGGTGTGGATGACGGCCATTCACATAGCACACTAGGTATTAACTCAGTTTATCCTCACAGCCCCGATAAGGTAGAAGTGATTACTAATGTTCAGTTGCTCTCAAGATCTCAGGAGCGAGAAGTCATTCTCAGCAGGTCAAGGGCAGGGAAGGAGTCTGGGCTGTGGTCTGGGTGGGCGAGCCCAACACCCTCCCCCAGCCTGAGGAGGTGAGCATAAGGCATCAATCACATTGATAACCAGGGAAGGAGAAGCTCCAAAAACATGTGTGGTCTGTGCAGGGAGAATAGGGTGTGTCTGTTTGTCTGTCTAGGTCAGACCTTTCATCGTAAGCCGAATCACAATGTTTTATATACACATACGCTTGGTCTCTACACCTGCCTCCCAAAATACACATATACAGAACTTCAAAGATCTTCCTATGAAATCACGAAATCAAGGCTTCCAGGTAGATCCAAATAGTTTTGCTTTGCCCTAGGAGGTTGGTGGAAGACCTAAAAAGAAGTTCTGTGGGACGCATATACTCGTAGTTGACTCCACGCCACAACAGGCGAAGTCGGAGCTTGGGAAAGATGTGCTGGCTTCTGGTTCTGCCGTTCTGGCCCATCAACCTGCCCCTCGAGCGTCCACAGAGGGCAGGGAGTGCCTTTTGGACAAGGACCCTACAAACCCGAACTGAGGGATGCCCCAACTTCTACTCTGTAAACCTAGAAAGTGTGGCAAACTTGGCAAAATACCCTCATGACCTTTCCCTGACTCTAAGGTGGATGGCTTGTGAGAGGGTTCTTACGTGTATGTTTGCAGTAAGAATGCTTATTTAACGTGGTAGTATTTCCGTATGTCAAGAAAGCTATTAGTCAAGGACAGCTGAAATCAAGGGAACACACTCACTCAGATCCAGGTAATGGAGAAATTGTTATTGTGACCATGCCTTGTCCCTTTCTGGTGAGTAAACCCATGAAGTTTGGGGTGTGTTCAGCTCTATGGAAATGAACAGGAGCCAGAAACACGGCCCACATCTCTGAGGCCCTGGTCACTATCACACCAAGGACTAGAGACCATGGCTCAGTCGCTCTCTGCCCCTCAGAGCAAGGCCTGCATCGAGGCTCTTGCCCCATGCCATTCTGTGCCATCCAGGGGGCCATCCCACCATTTGGGGGTACCAGCCTCAGGCCAGCAATCCAAGGAGAAAACAGGTGGGCCACTCCCAGGGGCAGCTTAATTCTTGGGTGGCTCCTCCCTCCCCAACGAGGGACTATGAACCAAGCTCAGGTTCCCAAAGCTGAGCAGAAACTGTAAGAAGAAAAGCATTGGACCAGAAGTTGAGGCCAGGGTCCTACCCCACCCGGCCCCCTGACTACCCACTCTGGCAGTGTGAACTTGCTCAAGCCATTTAACTTCGCTAGGCTTCAGCTTCTCTGCGGACAAGGCAGAAATAGTAGCTCCAAGTTGATCTCATAGCACACGAGAGTCAAATAAAGTAAGAGAAGTGAGAAAAAGAAACGAAATGAAACGAAGAGAAAAGAAAAGAAAAGAAAAGAAAAGAAAAGAAAAGAAAAGAAAAGAAAAGAAAAGAAAAGAAAAGAAAAGAAAAGAAAAGAAAAGAAAAGAAAAGAGAAAGAAAAGAAAAGAAAAAAGAAGAAGAAACAAACCCCAAACATTCTACAAACGCAAAAGTAGTATTCCCTGATATCACCTCCTCCCCCCTCCCGCCCCGAGGAGAGGGAAGGACCCGAAAGACTCACCAGTGGCTCTATTGTGCTGAGGTCTTTAATTTTGTTGCCACTTAAATTTAGATGCGTGAGGTTCGGACACTTTTCTGCCAATACTTCCAGGCCCCCTGAGATTCTGTTATCGCTTAGTTCAAGCTAAACAGGGCAGGGAGGGGGAAAAAGCAGAAAGAGCTCTTAACACGAAGGCGGAGGGCCCAGGGTACCCAGCCCTCAAAGTCGTCTGAGGGCCTTGACCACGGGCGTGTTGGCGCACGCGGCCACCTCACCTTTGCTCGCGCCCCCTCAACACCAAGCAACGAGCGACCCTCTCCCCTCCTCCCCGCGCACACTCCTAGACTCTATTTACCTTCTTAAGTTTGTTTAACTTTGGTAAGTTTGCGACTGAGGTGAGGCCTACGTTGATTGTACTTAAGAACTCCAGTTCTTCAAATTCATCTGTGAGGCCCTCGATTTTGCCTTCGATTGACCGGCAGTTGTCCAGGACGAGCTCTTTCACCTGCAAAGGGAAGGCCAGCGGGCGGTCAGACCCAAAGAGCAGTCAGTCCGTCCTACACTGCAGGCTGCACCTCCTCTGTCTCTTCAGGGGCATCGTGCGGCCAGCACCCACCCAGGTCCTCCTGCCGTCTGCGGTCCTGAGGGGAAGGACGGAGGGGGTGGGCACACGCTCCGGGCATGGTGGTCTCGTTCCAACGCCACGGCCACACTTCTCCAAAACTCCCCTTAAAAATAAGCCGCCACAGCCCCCAGCTTCCCACCGGCGCCAGCCACACCGTCAGATCCCCACCACCCTCCTCCCAGGCCCTGTGGCCTCAGCCTGACCACCTCCCACGGCCAGCTACTTCCCCTCCTTCGGCCTCCGTGTGCCTGTGACCCTCGGCGTGCGGACCCGGCCCAAGACACACACGCACGCCACCCTCACCAGCTCACCGGCCAGAGCCTGCCCACTCGTCACCACAGTCACCCGCTTGGCCTGGCCCCTGGTAGGGGCCGCAGACTAGGGAGCCCCCCACTCTCCGTTCTCTAGACCAGCCCCGTGCAACAGAACCTTCTGCAACGATGGATGCCTCCTGCTCTGGCCAAGAGAGGAGGCGCTAGCCGAGGGTGGCCACTGAGCACCTGTGACCCGGCTGGTGAGACTGAGGAACTGAGTTTTCACTTTCATTTTCCTTAATTTAAATGTAAAAAGACACTTAGAATTACCATACGGGATAGTGCATCTCTAGACCCTGCTCTTCGGGTCCTGAGCATAGATGTGAAAGGAAAAGAATGGAAATCCGCAACCCTAGGACGGCCCCTTAATGCATGCTGAGGTCGTCGAAGTACAAAAAGTCAGTCTTTGGAAGCACCTCTGTGACCCTGTCTGGCCCTTCTTTAAAACTCCCTGGAGGCAATTTTGCCGCTGGAGTTCTTAGATTCTCTTCTTTTCTCTTCTTACTCCAATCTGGGTCCAAATCCTTTATTTCTGAGGATGTAGAAAGACGAGTTTGGCTCAGGTCATGATCTCATGGTTTGTGAGTTTGAGCCCCACCTCAGGCTCTCTGCTGTCAGTCTGGAGCCTGCTTGGGATTCTCTCTCTCTTCCTCTCTCTCTGCCCCTTCCCCGCTCTCTCTCTCTCAAAATAAATAAATGAACTTTCAAAACACCCCCCCCCCCAAAAAAACTCCCAAGCTTCATATTTACAAAAAAAAAAAAAAAAGACTCATGAAAAGCAACTTCTCATTAGGTGGTTAAAAGGTAGATTTGGCTGAAGGGAAGATTCCAGGCTCCAGTACAGATGGTGGGGAGACAAGCTGAGGAACACATCAAGTCCCAGGCCTCAACGTCTCTGGGGAGTCAGCAAGGGAAGCCAGGGTGCCCAGCCCTCCAGGAGGATGCCCCGGTGACCCACTCCTGCCCCAGCAGTCTGGCTGCTCCTTGGCCACCCAGGGCTGGCAGGCACCTTAAAGGTAACTCTTCCTGGCCGCATCTGGTGCTGGACACAACATCCCCACCTGTCTGCTCCCCACAGCCTCAAGGAAACACACATCACCATCTCGGGATCTGCTGCCCCCCTAGGACTTCCCCCTACAGGTTCTGATTGGTCACGGATGGTTCAGACAGTACGATCTAGTTCTTCCAAATGGCAGTCCCACACTGTCCGAAGGGTCATGCCAGCCCCTCAGAGCCTTTTCTTCTCCTGGACAAGCAGATGGCCTTCTGTTCTAACCAGCCCCTGTCCAGAGCTCCTCCGGCCCCCTGAGCAGGCCAATTTGCTTAGACCTTCCTGCCGGGCCCAGGATGACCGGCTTGCCACAGTCCTCCAATCCTCCCTCCTGCTCAGGCGTCTCGAGGCCAAGCAGAAACCTGGGGGGACAGAATCGACAGTGGGCCTGCTGGGCCCCTTCTCAGCCCACCCTTGTCAGCAGGCAGACCAGGGGCGCTCGGGGCACATCTGGACTGCAGAGCCGCCACAGTTACCCTGCTTTCTTCTTCCCTGGCAGACAGAGGTGGTGTGCCTAGCCCAGCGACAGTGGCAATCTGCCAGGAAGGGCAAAGCCAGGCACAGGAGCTCCTTCCCAGAGCTGACCCGTTCTGGGCCTAGGCAATGGCCGCCAAGTCCTGCCTTTCCCCTCGGATCTGGGATGGGAGAAGTTAAATCCTTTTCCACTCCCTCAGTCCCCAGGAGAGGCCAGATGTCCAGGTCAAGCCACCTTCTCAAGGTCACTGGCAAGAGTGCCTGGGAATAAATCCTGAGAGGCCTTCTGCCCTAGGGCAGGAAATCAGTGTAGAGCCAAGAAGCCAGGCCTTAGGGGAGCAGGACAAACGGAGGGAGGTTCACAGCGCCGGGAAAGGGGGTAGGCCCACCTCCTTCATCTGCACCAAACTCTGGAGCCACAAGGCCTGCGGTCTTCGGAAGGCGCTGCAGATTCTTGGAGCTCCACCAGAGAAAGACAAATACGAGCAGGGATTCCAGTCCACCCTCAAAGATTTCAGACATGTGGTTTTTCCAGACGGGTCAAGGGCTTCTCCTCTTAACGACCATTTGCCAAGGAAAAGAAAGCCTTAGAGATGGGGGTGGTGGGGCTGGGAGTCAGGGGAATTCCTCCCGGAAGTCAGCCTCTTTTCCAGAGAGGCACGGCGCTGCCTGGGAATTCTATGGACAGGCACGGGGTCCCAGTCCCGGCACCCCACACGACCGCCAAATGGGGGCCATTCCTCCCGGGGGATGATACGCAAGCGGCTACCACTAATGTTTTTATTAATAGGAACCATCGGATCTTTCCAGAGCCTGCACAGGCCCCCTTGAAGTGCTTTGCTGGCACCAGCTGGTTCACTGGTGGGAATGGGATTTTCCCATTCCACAGCCACATCAGAACCACCTATCCTAATGGCCCCTGGAATGGACATAAGACCCAAAGCAGTGAACCAAGGTGGTCAGTGTTGGCTCCCGACTGGTCCTCAGATGTTCCCAAATATGAGGCGCGCTCTCCCAGACTCCCCCAACTCAACCCTATAAGCTCTCCTGAAGCCCCTTCCAACAGGTCCACCAGCAGGGTGGGGACCACTCCTGGCAGTCCCCGCCCTGGTTACACTTCCTCCGTAACCAAAACAAAATCCAAGCCAGCCCTCCTTCAGATGACACTGCGATTAGGGAGCAAGGATGTGGAGAGGGGCTGGGGGACCTGGCACCCTGCTCTTGCCAAGCGGGAAGAGGCTGCTTCCAGCCGCTTGGGCAAGTCTATGCCCTCTGGAGTGCCAGCAGTGGCCAGTTATAGGTCAGGTCTGCGGGGCCTCTGGGACCACCACTGGTTTCTGCATTTCCTTCCTGGCAAGAGTTTCGGCAGTGTTTGGGGTGAGATCAAAGATGTGAGAGAAGGGCAAGGTTCAGACACTGCGGCTGCTGATATCACCAAAAAGCCCAAACACCACGAGGGGGAAGCCCACTGCTGCTTTGGGGAGTGACTGTCACTTTGGGGATGGCAGGTAAGCCACCTGTGAAGTGCCTGAAAGTGACCAAACAGGAAAAAACAAAAACACCGGCCCAAGAGGTGATCTGGAGTCATTCCACGCACGTCCCCCGGGTCCCCCTGGGTCCACAGAGGGTGGCCCTTTCCTAGAGCTCCAGGACAGACTCCCACGTTTGTAAACCTCCAACCAGCCCCAGCACTCCTCAAATCCACTCTGAGCTCCTGATCCAATTCCAACCCACTTCCTCCCGTCTCTGTGCGGTGGCCGCCACTCCAAGCCCTTCCAGGCAGAGAACATATCCCTGTTACATCCAGGGTGTGTTCGCCTTAAAAAAGAAAAAAAAAAAAAAATTAAGGTCCACTTCCCCCTGCCAAATCCTGGGTGTGAGCTAAGTGCAAAGTTAAAATTAAACTGGAAATTTGTACTTTGGGTTGAGACTCTCTCCCAAGCTTCACTGGCCCTTTAAAAATATCTGAATGTGGTTGCTCCCTAGCCCAAGAACTGGCTTACTCTGCTGGTAGCAGAAGCTTTTCAAACACCCATGGACAAAACTACACAGGATTCTAGGCTTCACTCCTCAGGTGTCAACACCCAAGAGGAGTCTGCATGTTCACACTCAGCCCTCTCGAGAGGTCAGTGGGGAGGCCACTGAAGCTTCCCAAGAAATCAGACTGTCCGGCTCCAGCGTTTCCTGAAAAACTTGTCCCCAAAGCAAGGACACAGCAATCATTTCTCACCAATGGGAGCTGATACGTCCGTGCTAAACACAAACACATTATTACTCTAAGGAACAACCCGTTGCTTGTTTCAAAACTGTGAAATCTTGTCTTCACAGCTCTCTCAAATGTGACCATTTCCTCTCTATTCTCTACACCGCAGTCCTGATCACAGTCATCGAAGTCACTCTCAGTCCGATTCTGCCTCCCAATGGGGGTCTCTGTGACAGCGGGGGGTGCACTGGACTACACGAACAGGTCAAGGACCTGGCTGGCTGAGGACCCTGACTCTGTCCCTGAGGGCTGGGCTCTGCCTCTGTGGAAAGAGGAGAATGGGATCTGTTTAACTTGTGAGGTACAAATCCCAGCCTAGAACACATTCCGTGTGTGTGTGTGTGTGTGTGTGTGTTTGGGGGAGGGACGGGGGGCTCCAAGTTCCTACACTGACCTAGTGCGTCTCCACATTTGACCTCTCTCTCATCTCACCCTTGCATCCATCGAAGTTCAGGTCCCCCTAGGAAACCTTCCCCACACCCAGCTCTGAGCATCCCAGGGCACTGAGGGCAGCTGCCACATGAATCATTTAATCATGTATTAAGCATCCGATCCTCCTAGAGGTCAGGGACTGTCCTTCCCCGTAATCAGCCTAGCGGGGAGCGGACACCAGAGCAACTGCTTAACAAATGTCCTGCTTACCGTGCCAGGCACAGCACTAGGTGCCGGGAGTACAGAGTGAGTCAAACTTACAGTGTCGCGGGTCCCCTATATACTGAATGAACCCGACCTCTTATAAACAACGTTTTCCACGTGCCTTGTGTCCCCCAGGAGGCAGGCCAGCTGCGCACGCTCCTTTTGACCTGACCCAGTGCTCTGC